CGCCCGTTGGGTGCTCACCGTCAGGCGCTCGGCGACGTTCCACTGGCTTTCTCGGTCAATTCTCACTCTCTCGGTCTTCTTTTTTCTTTTTCTCATTTCGTTCTCCTTGTTCAATCTGACCCCAAACTTAATTTTGGATTTTAATAAATTTTGGGGCATTTTTATATGTTGAGCGTGTAATGCTCCTATGGATATTATTATGTTGTAATATTGAACTTAATTTATTGTGGATTGTGGACCTGTGGTTGTGTTGTTTTGTAATGGGATGTTTAAGTCTAGTAGATTGGTTTTTATTTGTATGGTTTGATCTTTTATTTGTGTTTATTCTTTTTCAATTGTGGTTAACCGAAAAACCGCATCGAATCAAACCAAAATTTTTTTCCTCCTCTTGCGGTGCGGTTCGGTTAAGAAATTATGTATTTCGGTTTTTGGTTTTTATCGGTGTGGTGTAGTTTTTTACTGAACCGCACCGATGTTCACCCCTATCTGTGACCCTGTCAGCTGTCCGCCCATTTTCATTATGCAGTGGTAAAATTTTTAAAATTAATTTAACACCATTCAATTATTTTCATGTTTAGTGCATTAATCCTCCAATTTTATTCATGTTTAGCTTCTTTTCAAGTTGCGCATTTCTTTTTAACACAGTAATTGGGCACAAAAAAATGCATGGATTTTCTTGGTTTCGTCGTATTTTATTCTTTAGTTTTTATAATTTTTAATAAATGATCATGTTTAGTGAATTAATCATGTTTAATAAATTGCTCCAATTACTATAATTTGTAGAGTTGTAGGTTTATTATTCAGAACAAGGCTATTTTTTTACCATATATCATGATGATTTTGTGTTTTGGTTTTAATATCTGTTTTGAAAAGGCCAAATTTTCTCTCGGTTTTTAAACCAAAAAATGATAATTCTTTGCCATCTGGGACTTTATAAATTGCGACCATCACTGTTGAAAGTAATCCTAAAATTTCTAATGGTTTAGTAGTTTTTTTGTTTAACTTTAATTTTATGCAGGATAAAGAATTAGATGAGAATAAGAGAATAAAATGTTTGTTGGAATGCAATAAAAAGGTACATTTTCTTTTTATCATTTATTGTATATAAATATGCAATTTTTTTTTTTTTTTTTTGCAAAAATAATTCTAGCCCGGGTAGGTTTTAAATCCTGGCTCCGCCCCTGCCGATGAGTGACAGAAGAGGCAGAGGTGAAGGAAGGAGGCGAAAGTGAAATGAACGGTGAACTCGCGTCGAAGCAGAGGATCAATCAATTATGATTTATTCGCGTGAAGGTGAAGGAGAACGTGAAATTAACGGTGAACTCGCGTCGAAGCAGAGGATCAATCAATTATGATTTATTCGCGTGAAGGTGAAGGAGAACGGGAAAGAGAGGAAGGTGATCTGATTTCTGATTTAATTCGCAACCTAAATTCAATTGGTCAAGTAATTTAATTAAGACATTTTATTAGCTTAATTTATTATTTTTTAACTAATATAACTTTTATTAATGTCTAATAAATTAATAATCTATCTATTATCTAACATCAATTTTTTTAAGAGAAATGCTATAGGTACACAATATTGTACATAGGGGTGTATATAATACTCACATTGAGTGGGACCTACAAAAATAAAAAATCAAGTGGACCCCACTCTATGTGAGTGTTATGTACACCTCTATGTACATTTATTATGTACTTGTAGCATTTTTCTTTTTTTAATATATTATCGGTTTGGTTCGATAAAACCGAATCCTAATGGGTTCGGAACAGATACCGAACAGATAAATATTTCGTAACCGATCATCGGTTACCGTTACACAAGAGTCGGTTCGGTTAGAATTATTTTCTCGTCGGTTCAGTTCGATTTTCGGTTTTCGGTCAAATAATACCAGCCCTAATAAGAATGTCGAGGATTGAGAGTTTATTGGGTTAGGTAAAGAACAGAGGCAGAGATCGTATGTGTGCCTATATATAGAAAGAGGAAAAAATAATGTAAGTGGTAATGTCTTAAATGTAACTAGTCCCTCGCAAGTCGCAAGGCTTGTTAATTTTCGACTTTGTTTAGAGCTTGTTAACCTCGCTTGATAATTTTAAGTATTTTTTTAACTCGTTAACTTAAAGAGTCAAACTTAGTTCGGTTCGACTTGATGACTTGATAAGAGCTTTCGTTAACTTAACGAGTCAACTTTAGTTCGGTTTGATTTGACGACTTGATAAGAGATTGAGGACGAACTAGAGTATTAGAAGCCACAATTGGATTTGATTGATTTCATATGTTATGAATAATAAATTTAAAGTATATTAATAGAGCATCATGTATTTCTAGGTTCCTTGAGGTGGAATTCCAACGAGTGTTGAGCTTTGTTTCGGTTTCATTTACTAAGGCTCAATTTGGTTGCCCATATTGGACTTTGATATCCTTCATGTTATTATTATATCAACAATAAGAGGGAAACCTTCCAAAGCCGGAATATGGTCCTGCCCTTGTTACAAACCTTTTTTTTTTTTTTTTCTTCAAAATTAAAGATTTTTTCTGGAACAAATTTATATGTCCGCCCAAATGTTCTGGAAGGAAAAAATTAATTATTTTTAAAGTTAATAAATATTTGACTATTTGCTATCGAAAATTACTATTTGAGTATTTTCTATTGCTTCATTTTGTAATTTATCCATTGTTTGTCTAACATTAAAAATTTTAGTGTAAAGGGTGTTTCAAACATATATAACAAATTATATATATAAAAAAAAAAGGATTGTTTGAGACTTTTAGCACATTTTTAGTGAGTGAGTGGGAGAAGATCAATCTTCTTACCATTTTTAATTTTAGATAATTTTTTTTTTTGTCAATATATTATATACAAAATTTTAATCATGTAACTAATAAAAGTAATTGCCGCAATATTTGACCAAAATGATTCTGTACATTAATTATATTGATTTTTTAATTTGTATTTCAAATAATTGACCCTACTTTTACAAAATGTTTAAAAAAATTACTAATAAAGGTAAAATTGAATTCTTATTGTGGAATTTTATTTACTATTTAAGGTAAATACAAACCTTTATATATATATATATATATATATAGATTATATATAGATAATTAACTAGAATTTATAGATTTGATTTAGTGTACATATTCCCTCGGAGACGGTTTTGCTACCAGTGGCCAGTGGAGTAACTAACTCGAAGCTCTTTCTTTCATAAATTTTTGCAATACAGCATGACAAATAAATAAACTAAAAAAACAACAAATTGGTAAGAACATGACTAAACAAACCCCTATCTGAATGCAGACGGGTTCATGAAAAACGAAGACAACTAACAAAAAAAGTAATAAACAACACAAAAAACTACCAATTGGCAAGACATGAATAGCTAAACCTCTCAGTCTGATTGTGTTAAAAGTAAAGCAGCTTAAAAACCATCTCGTGGTCTATAAACCGACAAAAAACGGATTGTGTTATCATGCATTCGGCAAGTCTTCAGTTCGTTTGGAGTATCTTTCCATGGTTTTCTTCTTCAGCAACTGTCACACAATCCTCATCAGTGTTTAGTTCAAGGAAGGGAAAACAAAAAATTGACTGAACCCGAAACTATTAACAAAAGCAATATTTCTTTCATATATTGAAGTATTGATGACTTAAACTGACGAAAACAGAAAGGATGATCAATAAAGTCGAGTTTTTAGGGCTTGATTGTTTATGAAATAATTTGTTAAAAATGAATTTTTTTGGTTAATCATAGCTAATTTTGAAAAATGTAGTATAGTTAGTTGTTAGTGAAATTTTAAGAATGAATTAAAATAATATTTAAAATAAAATAATTAAAATTGATTTGATGTAAAAGTAGGAGATAAATTATTGGAAATGATTGTAAATGATAGGTAGTTAAAATTATGTGAATGGATGATAAGTGAATTAAAGTTGATGTGATGTGTAAGAATGATTGGTTTATATCATTCAATTATATAAATAATATTAAAGATAGTGGGGTTGAGTTAAAGTTGAGTTAGATTTTGTGTATAAAATAAAGTTGAGTATATATATAATAAGAATTACCACTTACCAAAAATAGTAGCAAAGAAATAGGTTAGAATTTAATACAACCTATAAATAGTAAGTTTTATTATTTTTTTCTTTAAAAATAATACAGCATTAAATGTCACCTTAAATTTCGGGCTTTAGTTCATTTTATTATTTAAAAATCCGGCTAAGATTTATTAAGTGTGTATGTTTTTATTTTTATTTTTTTCTTAGAAACAACGAACAACATTAAAATCTCGGTCTTTATATTTATAACATCTCACTTCAAAATATAACAAAAATTTTAGAATTTCAGTCTTTATATTTGTGCATTTAAAAAAAAATATTAAACGCTAAAAATATTCTTTAAATTGCATAATCAATCAATTAATCTTAATTTTTTGAAAATTACTATGTTTATTTTTTATTAATATGCATAAAGTAAAAATAATTAATTCATCTTTTGAAATATAATTTATAATCTTAATATACTATCATTTGGTGTAGACATTTATTATATGAATCATAAAATATTTTTATTTCATAAAATTAAATATAGTTACAAAAAATAAGAAAATTTATTTGAATCAATCGGGTGATTGAATTAAAGTACTGTCCAGGTTGGTTGAATTACTTTTAAGTGATATTTAAAATAGTAAAAAAACTTGACACCACTTGGTTGGTCCCAAATGACTAAGTTATGTATCAGTTCGACCACACCAAATCGATTATTGAACCTAAATCCCCCTTATATATTAATTTAGAACGTGTTGAGCCTATGTGGCAGGCTCGCATGCTTGGGGATCCTATGTGGCAAAATGACATGCTTCGTTATTAGGCTTGGGTAGATTTAATTTACTTATAATCCAAAAATATTTAAGTTCAGATTATTTATAAATATGTTGATTATTTATGGTAGGGGTGGGTGCAATCCGGACGGTCCTGGATTTGACGACTTGTCTGGATACCGATCCCATTTTTATGAATCGGTCCATGAACGGTCCGGGATGAGACACCGTCCCTACCCATGTAATACATGGGTGTTGTAGTAATATAAATTTTATATTGAAAATATTTTATTACGTGAATGTGATGTAGTCCAAACTTCAAATAATCGTATTAACAATACTTTTATGACAGCATGTTTAATGATTTATGAATATTTATATATCATTTTATTAATATTTATGTGAATTAAATGATATTTTATTATAATATTTATTAATGTACAATAGGTTTTCTGAACTGGACCGGCATCGAAACGATCAAACTATTTTATTAAATCATTTTTGGTTTGTTCAGATTTTAATTTATAAACATTTTAATATATATATATATATATATATATATATATTACTTTTTGTAATAAATTTAAATAAAATGAGTTACTTAGATATCTAAACAATTTATAAATTAAAATGTTTAAACTAATTGATAAATAATTTATAAATCACTATTTTACTTAAATATGTAATTTTATTTAAAATAATTTTAAATATAAAAAAAATTATTTAAAAAATCGTATCGATCCTACCAGTCCAACCGGCTGGTGTTGACGGATTCGAGAGCAAATATTTTATTCAAGCGAACTGGACCGGTTATAAACCGGTTCTCAGTCTATCCGGTCGGACTGTGTCCAATCCAGTTTAATTTAAAAACAATGGATAAATCATGATTAATATTATTTATATGTTTAATTTATAATACAATCGTAATATTGTTTTCCCGTGCATCGCACTCGCCGCGCACTAATTATTTCATAAACAATCAAGCCCTTAGTATACCTGCACGAGCATTAGAGGAAAGCGGGTAACGAGGAGCTGAGCTGGCATCAGAGTTGTAAAGTCTCGGGCCCACGGGCCTTGCCGCTGAGTTAGATGTCTCCTCATTCCAGAAAAACGAATTAACGGCCTCTTTCACTTTTCCCACCACGCTTGTGTTATTGTTTATTTTATTTGGGCTAATGGCCTCAGTTAAAGCCCGCGAAAGGGCCCGCTCGTCCTCAACGGGCTCCACCTTGTTCATCGAGTGCTCTTTCACTGGGCTGAGCTTTCCCGACTTTTCCTGGTTACCTATCCTTACCGTCTCACGATTCGGAGTCTTTGGTGAGACGGTAAGTCCCGAAATCTTGGAAGTGATGATATTGTGAGGTTGTGCGGATATTTGGGGAACGGCTTTAGTAACGTTCGTCTCGTTTTCGTTTTCTTGAAGTGATGTGTCGGATAGTTTGGTCCTTATTGGGGTTCGATGGCTCTCGGAAACCACGGGCACGGCCCGTGGGTGTTGTCTCGCGTTCTCTTTTAAGCCTTCGGGTGCGGCTTCCGACTCGTACACTACGACGACGTTTGATTTTAAAATATATCCGATGAAAATGAAATAATGTTTTAAAAAAATCATTAGAAAAATAGAAAACACTAAAAAAAGGAGCAAAATTACCATTGATATCACGAATTTTTTTGAAATCACAATTTAATCATGACATTTTCACGTTTGCTAATTATATCACAATGTTTTGCAAATCGGTCCGTGTTGATTATATCAAAATCTTCAGTTTGTTCTTCGACCTCATAAGGTTTTCTCAGGGTTGGTTTTCATAACACGTGCTCCAAAAGCAAAAGTAATTGCAGTTTCGAAAAACGTCATAATATTAAGGGAAATTTTGCCAAAAAGAAATACTAAAAAAAATAAGGTGAAAATTAAAGAACTACGGAAAAAAAAACTAAGAACGTGATATTAAAATATCAAAACATGAAAGAAAGGACTTTTTTTCCCTTTTCGTTGATCGAATGGCGGAATATTTTCTTTCAGGCGGTTATGGATCCAAACTTACGACACAAGTTTTTTTNATAGTTTAGAAAAGTTATAAATATTATCAAATTCGGAAAATTCGAAAGAGCATGTGTGAATTAATTACTTGGAGCTCCGAGATATTCAGGATCATCAGTCGGGTCGTCATCATTGTGGTCGTCTAAGACGAGGCCTGAATGTGGGGTCGTATTTTCGTCATTGAGATCGTTTTCGTTGATGTTCTTTCGGCCACTGAGAGAGTGCTTCAGCTTCTTAGCTCTCTCTTTTACTTTTGCAAGAACCGATTTCCTGTTTTGTGAGGGACTCAAACTTTCTTCTTGATGAGCATGATTCATTTCCGATGTAGGGGATGTGGTTGGTGACCAGCATGCCTCGTCAACTGAGAGAGAGAGAGAGAGAGGGATTTTATGCCATTTTTCGACTATTCATAAAAATGAGTCCAAGAGGAGGAAGAGTATAAATTTAAGTATTTAACTGCAAATTATATCACCAAACACCTTATCTTTTTCTTATTTTCCAACTATGCATGAAAATGGAACCATGCTTTCTAATAAAAAATCTCGCATTCTGAACAACCTCTATTCCACTTTCAACCTATATGCATCGTACAATCTTTATTCACATCTTTCATTCAAATCAATCTACCGATTTCCGCTACACTATAAACTGTTTAAGATATAACAGGGTGTGTTAAAATTAAATCAATGGGACGTGCAGCTTATGAATATTAAAATGTGTTAATCTGGTCTACATGTTGTACAAGTTAACACAATGAGGATTGAACAAAACACAAACAAATATGTTCACATATCCAAATCTATGTTATGTAAGATTCTATTTTCATTCAGTCATCCAAACACAATCCCAATTTTCACACAGATGCCTAACAGATTTTCTGAAAAACATAGCAGCATCGATTCAGGGCACATAAAAAAGGTACCTCTTAGCATCTGCTCAAAAGCTGGTGAAGTTTGAGTTGTAGGCATTTTTTGGGTGTTGGTGGATCTTCTTGTCCTTTCAAGTTGAGCCATTGCAGTAAAAGTTCACTTGATAACTTTGTAAATTTTATTCCTATGGATGGAAAAATATATATGTATAGAGGATCTGCTGCGATATTTGGGGACTGAATTTCGGCTTCTTTTGTGGATTATAATCCAAAAAACCACTTTTTGCTTAACCACAAGTTGAAATGCATGACTCGCCATAAATAGCATTCTTTTATGATGGAGAATATGGTTGGACGTTGAAATCCTTTGATGCCCCTTTTCTTTATCCTATCCAGAAAAAGAATACAAGGTTAGAACCTATAATAAGTACGTTATTTATTAAAAAAGGACAGAAAAAGATTCGGCTACATCCCTGATATCCTGGCATGGGTAAAGGGATTAGAACTCACTTCCACAAATATATAACGACCGAGATTTTCTATTTGGGTTGGTGTTTTGTATGGTGTAAGACTAAGTATTGAACAATCCTAACTGCATGCTTAAAGACAAAGTAAAAACACGCCATTTTCAATTGAACCGACTAACAAACTATCAGATACCAAAAAAGGAGCCATAATAATGTTTCGTTCAACTCCAAAAATAACAATGTCACTCTTTAATAACAAATACTGACATATGATACTCCCCTATGGAAAAAATTACACGAAAAGGCTTGCATTTCTTTTTACGTAACAGTTTTGTAGTTTTCATTTTGCTATGAGAAGATCTAAATACCATAAAAAGAAATATCAATAAATACAGGCAGTCTTGTTCCATGTGCGTAAAAGAGATTTGAACAAAAGTGGGAGGAGTTCAAGTGTTTACAAAAGACCAAAATCAACATAACCAACTCAAACCAACTTTCAGCATGATGTCAAATTAAATCAAGGCTCCATCAAATTGGCATGATTGATGGAATAAAAACAAACTGCAACAACAAATGTTCAAAACCTCATCACAATTTCTACACAAGTAACTTTCAACCAAAAGTCAAGGCTCCATAGGTATGACAGCAAATTAAA